GTGGTAATGATCTTGCTTTCACAGGAGCAACTCGGGATTTGGAAGTTAATAAATGAACACTAACATTGCCAAAATTATCTTGACAACGTAGATAGATACAACATCCGTATGCTCTAATTGATGCGTCGCTGAATCCATGTACTTGCATGTTAATTGAGTTCTTGATTCGAGTGAACTTAGGAATTTTAAGAAGTACCACTTGATGCAAATCAGCAAGAATTTTGTTCCATGTTGTGTAAATTTCTTGAGGTACGGATTCATCCCAATCACATCCAATTATCCATAGTTGCTGTAACAAAATCTTAGCTTTGATGATAAGTAGACTAATTAGACCCAAAGGATCATATAAAGATGATGCTAATGACAATGTTTCGTTTAGTATGACTTGCTGGTATATTGGTTGATTGAAAAGTGAAGCAAAAATAGTCTTCTTTCGTATTCCATAACATTCCAAGTGGGCATGCCATATCTCTTGCAGTCTCAATATCTGTAAGTTTAACATTTGGTGTAGTGATGTTAACATTGTTACTATTCCACTTTGTTAACGATAAGTTGTAAAAATCCAATGTTTTGGTAGTTTCGTTTTTGATGGCTTGCAATGTCTCCAAGTCATCTGCTCCTGAGATCATGTCATCGACATAAAAATCCCTTTTTAATATCATTTTACCTGTTTCTTTACGGTAAGGATAGTTATCTGCAATGTAGTGTAAGCACCGGGTTGCAAGAAATGGCGCAGAACTCGTACCATATATAACAGTATTCAGTTGATAAACTGAAATATTTTGCGATTTATGCTCACGCCACAAAATTAGTTGAAAATTGCGATCACTTGGATGTAGCCAAAATTGTCTATACATTATTGTTATGTCAGCCGTTATTCCATATTGATATAATCGAAATCTTAATAATGTTATTACAAGTTCATTTTGGATTGTAGGGCCCACCATTAATAACTCATTTAATGACCTTGTGATGATGTACGAGCTGAAAAACTACACGTACTTTAGTAGTTGTGCTATCTGGTTTAATTACATAATGATGTGGGATAAAATAGTGGGGAGATTTTAAATCCAAATCCTTAACCATCGACATATGTCCGAGATTTTCGTAATCTTGCATAAATTTCACATATTCCAATTTTAACTCAATATTGGAGTCAAGTCTTCTTTCCATAGATAAAAATCTTCTTAATGCAATTTTCTGAGAATTTCCAAGAGTACTTGTGTCGCCTTTGAAGGGCAACCTTGTCATCATTTGGCCATCGTTACTGAGAGCTACAGTTTTTTGAAAGTTGGTTTCGCATTGCTGTTCTTCTACTGACCATACTGATGGTGGGTGAACTGGTTCCTCTATCTGCCACAACCGTTCCAAGTTCGCATTAATTATATCCAAGCTGACAACACAATGGGATGAAACAATTTTGGAATCTTTAGTAGAACAATATTTTCCTGAAATAATCCAGCCGAACAAAGTTTTTTGTAAAGTCGGTAAATTCTCACCAAGTTTTATTTGGCCTACTGCTAGCAGTGAAAAGAAAGCTTCTGCACCAAGTAACATATCAATTTTTTGGCGTTTGGAAAATGTCGGATCAGCTAATTGAAGATTTTCAGGAATTTGCAACTCTTCTAACGACAGTGTTTCATTAGGGTGATATCCAGAAATTCTTTTGGTAACGAGAAACTCAAGTACTGCTTCAAAACTGTTTACCCTTGAACGTATCGTACTTATAGTTTTGTGTTTAATATTTATTGATGCAGCTCCTACACCAACAAGACTGTTTTCACTTCGTGACTTTTTTAGATGAAGTGCATTACACATCGATTCCGATATTAAATTGACCTGCGAGCATGAATCTAATAACACTCTACAGAGTTGAAAAGTACCAGATGCATCTTTAACTAACACCATTGTTGTTGCCAAAAGCTCCACTGTTTTTACCCGAGCAGAAGTTTCGTCTGGAACTAGTGTTCTAGTGTGTACATGACTTAGAGGTGATATTGTTTGCTCACATAAAGGTTCCATATTAGATGATGCACCAGTATTATGTAAAAGTGAATGACGTCGTTTTTTGCACATTCGGCATGAATACGTTGATGGACGATGTGTGCTAATGTGATCTTTCCGGAGACAATTAAAGCATAGTTGGATTTGCTTCGCCTGTTGACATCGATTTTCAATTGATAGAGCTAAAAAATTTTGACAATTAGTAATATAATCACCAGGTTTTAAACAATATACACAATGAATCTGACTTGTAGACTTTTGTTTCGTTATTAAGATGTGCTTGAAAGGTTTACGAACACTAGTATGCTGCAACTCTTGGTTGATTGTAGCCTTTGGCTTGGCCTTTGCTAGTACCATTAATTGTTGACATCGCCTGTCAAGCATCTTGCAACTTTCCAGCCAATTTGGTAGTTTCGTATAGTCGTGACATTCATTCCATTTACGTTTCGTCTCACTATCCACTTTCATCATTACCAAATGAATCATGATTGCATCACATATCTGTTCGTGTGATCCCAGTGACTTAAGCGAACTATATAAAGCCGAAATGTTGTCCACTAATTGGCAAAGTTGAGTCGAATCAGGCTTAATACATTGTGGTTCATCAAAAAGTGTTGCAATGCCTTCCAGAAATATGAGAGGGTCATTGTCGTATCGCTCTTTGAGTCTTTGGAGAGCCTTCGGTTAGTTGTCTTCCGTTATCTGGAACGCCTTTACTGTAGCTAACGCTTCGCCTTGAAGACACGATAACAAATGGTTGAATTTTTCAGTTGATGTCAAGAGCGAATCACTATCTACAAGGTTTTGAAAAATATGTATAAAATTTTTGAATTCAAGATATTTGCCGTCACACTTAGGCAACTTTAAATGTGGCAATCTGTTTGACGGCAGCTGCGGTAACGAGAGAGTTTGCTCATGGTAGCTTTGTCTCATCCGTCCATCAACTAATGACAATATTAAACATTTTGTACAGCTCATCGATGTCAGAGCGCGCTGAATCTGTAGGACAATATCGCTCTATCTGATTCTGGTAGTAAGATACCTGCTTATAATATGCATCTAGCATCCCAAGTCTACACTCCAATTCCGTTGACGATAAAGTTTTGTTGTTCTCAACAATATTTTTAATTCGCGTTATACTGCCTTTTGTAGATGCTCGCTGCTGTTTTAATTCTTCTAACGAAGGTAATGGCGGCAGAGAATTTGACGCTGCAGTCGAATTGTTTTCGGCAGCGCTGCTCGCTGCTGCATTATTAGAATTTTGCATCACCGAAAGCAAATGCAAAACCGAAAATAAAACAAAAAAAAACCAACTAATGTTATGAAGGTTAATAACCTGAATGATTGTCAAGGTTATTGTAAAATTGAACAACTGTTGTTTATTTTTTAAGTTTTAAACAATTACTGATGTAAGAGACAATTAATATTAAGTTTTTAATATTAATTTGAAAGACCTTTAGTCTTTATTTATATATCAAGTCTTTAATATAAATTGAAGACTTTATTTTTAAAACATATTATTAACAATAGCAAAAAAAGCAAACCAAAAGGAAAGCTGCGGCTATTAAAAGCTTTTTTGTTAGTTGTAAATAAATATTAAATAATTGAACTTAAAATAAGTATACGAGAACCCAATTGACTTAACAATCACTGTTAACGAAGTTCATTTCCGTATCTAATGCGTGTTGAAATTGTTGTATTATTTGATCATAATATGTTAAGTTAGTTATATGGTAAATTTCACCAAAGTCATCGTAGATTGCTGCTTTATCGTTTTCGATTAATACATACAGTCAGCGACAAAACTCTACATACACCCCCCATTTTTGCTAGCTCGTAAATCCAAGGACATAATAGAAAAAAGTAATGATACAGTTTTGTTTAGAACTGTTTTTTAATAATAATAAACAAAAGAAAATCCATTCATCAATATAAATTAACAAAGTTATTCGAAAAAAACCTAAAAAAATCATTGACAAAAGTCTACATACACTTCATTGATTTTTAGATATAGTCGACAGAAATATAAATGTTAAACGGGAAAGTACCGTTTTTCATATTTCATGCTTGTGGCATGAGTCATACATTTATATAATGCACTTAGTTGTGCTTTGAGAGTGGTATTTAATTGACACGATGGGTCCACGAAAAGAATTTCAAGTGATATGCGAAATCTGGTTATTAAGCATAGAAATGAAAAAACACCTTATGGTAAAAATATCAAAATTAGTAAATTTGACTCGATCAACAGTGTAGACGATAATAAGAAATTATAAAAATACTGGTTCTCCTGAAAATAAACCTTGCAGTGGCCGCCCAAGGATACTCATACGTAGGGATGTCAGCTTGGTTTTAAAAGAAGTTAACAAAAATCCGAAAGTAAGTGCCTTAAATTTAGTCGAACACATTGCTAATGCAACTGGAAAGCATGTCAATCTACGTCAAAGTTATTTTTCCTACTTCAGTTGCAGCTACGGCTCCCCAAAGCATAGCACTGCCACCACCATGCTTTACAGTTTGCATTATATGCTTCGGATTCAGTGCTGTTTTCGCTTTCCTCCAAACTTTAGCTCTCCAATCGCGTTGAAATATATTGAATTTCGATTCATCTGTAAATAAAACCTGCTTCCAGAAATCAAAATCCTTTTCTTTATATTGTTTGGCAAACTCTAAGCGCAGCTTTCGGTTTTTTTCAGAAATTAAAGGTTCTTTGCGTGGTATTCTATCATGAAAACCGTGGCTGTTCAACGTTCTTTGTACTATACGTGGATTGACATGCTTTCTAGTTGCATTAGCAATGTGTTCGACTAAATTTAAGGCACTTACTTTCGGATTTTTGTTAACTTTTTTTAAAACCAAGCTGACATCCCTACGTA